AGTGCTCACTAAGTTAAAGAATAAAACATCATACTTCGGTTTGAAAAAGCTTTCTGGTGTGGGTTGTCTCCACGTAAGTTATGTACATACGTAGCAAAGGCAGCCACATGCAGAATATTATAAAGTGATGGTAAAGGGCATATATTCGTTCGCTGTTTGATAGAATATTCTGCTAAGTATTTAACCATGTCATTAAAGTCCCTTTTTTTTGTTGTGATCTAATATTAAAAGTGAATTTTCTTTAAGACCTCTTACTTCGGTTTTGTAATGCATTGCTGAAAGGATCACAACAGATTTATTTTTTTCGGCACGAGCTGGTCCATTTTTTGCAGACCTGTGTATGTTGTTGGTTCGAAACTGGCAGTTTGTGGTGGTACAGCAGATCAAGTTGTTCCATCTTTGTCAGAATAGTTTCCCTGGTCTCACCTGGTCTGTCGTCCTTTTCTCATCTTCACTTTCGTCTTCCGGGTCGTATTCTGGTGACTGGAATTCTTCTATATCGGAGTCGTCTGGAGTTACATCATATTCGTTATCCTCTACAATCGCCTCAGACACCAAAGGCTCACCGTCACTATTTTCCCCGCCTAAATCTTCTAACCTCTGGCGAATATATTTTTGCTGTTGCTCAGGATCAAGTGCACTAAGTGGTCGTGGAGTGAGTCATTCACCATCTTTAATTTTTACTTTTGTAAATTTTGTTTCGTTGGGAAACACTTGGAAATAAAAACCCATAGCTCTTCAGTGTCCAAGTTTGCACTACATAAGTAAATATCAGAGATAAGTACTTTTTTGCCTATGGGTTCTTCAGGTTTGTGCATGCGTTGAAGTATTTGCGTCTACTTGAAAACCCCTTCTTTTCTCACATAAATATACTAGTTTTTTACCTAAACAATCCTCTTCGCATATACATTCAAAACCCATGATCATAAAGTGTGGTCTGAGAAACTGATTATTCATACAGTAAAATAACATATTTCTCAAGTATTGTTTTACATACTTAAAACAAACATATTTTTTAGAAAATAGCAATAAAGTCTTAGCCAGATTAAAATAAATGTGTTAAATATTCACATTTTCGTCATAACGCAATGTCATTTCCCATATAAAATGTATGTGCATACCCGGGTATGCTGCTGTTGACGTACGTATAATTTTTCTGGTGTTGACATAAAGGTAAGGCAAAATTATGCTTGCTTCAATTAAATTCATAGAAACCATCAACGATTTAACATACATAAATGAAAGTTAAAAGCTAGAAAAGTGCCGCCTTCGGCTGTGTTGTATGGGAACTATACCTACATACATATATATGTTTTACTGGTCTGATATTGTCGGTTTCGATTAATGCGTTGAGGCGTATTTTTTTTGCGTACGAATCGAACATTTGAAATTTTTGAAAGAAGAAGTAAAAAAGAATACGCTCCAGTATAAAAAGCACCTGCTTATCAAATTTCACCCAGATATCTGAGAGACAAATTTTCGTCAAATCAATGTCCCTTAAGTAAGTGTCGAAACGGTCGTCGTTATAAACTTTGTGACTTGAAAATTGATTGTTTTGATTACGAAAAAAATATTTGTAAATAGATATTTTTGAATGTTTTCTTTTCAAATTTATGTCTATTTAATAGGGCTGTGCGATTAATTGATTATTCAAAATTTTAATTAATCACAAAGTAAATTATTCGATTAATTGGAAATTATGATTACTTAAAACTTCAGTTACTCGAGTAATCCAGATTTGTGATTAACCAAAAACAAAAATATTTGAGTAATTTGCTTTGTGGTTAATCAACATTTTGAGTAAAATGAGTAATCAACATTTCAAAGTACTCTTTACATATAAAGTAGTTGAAGTTCTTTGATACCTTGAAAACAACGTTTCTGTTTTCAAAAATTAAAGGGCTTTTTTTTCATATACAAAATGTAAAAAAGAAAATAAGCATTTTCCAAAGCAAACTCTTTTAACGAGCAAAATTAATTTTTTTGAGTAATCATATGTCAAGTAACTCGATTAGTCATCGTTTTGAGCAATCAAAATCTTGATTACTCGAGTAATTGATTAACCGAATAATTGATTAACTAACTTGCTCAAGTAATCGAATAATCGCACTGCCCTACTATTTAATATTCTATCAAATGATGTGCTGCGCACATTTGTGTCGGTCTTTCGCAAATACATGATGCTAGAATTTTCGAAAAATTCTACCTATTATAGCTTCAAACACAAACAAACTCATTCGAAGGTCAAACATAATAATAAAAAGTTTGTGTACACTAACCGCATAACATTTATAGAGTTGATAGTTATAGTGGCGTTCTCTCAAGTAGGTTTTAAAATTTATCTGACCATCAAATACATATTTTTAGAACAAAATTTATGTTTAAAGGCAGATAAATTTTAACATCTACCTGAGAAAACGGCGCTTACCTTTATAGAACAATAATTAATTGGATCGGTTTCAGACAACATTTTGAGACTTTAAATCAATCTCGCATGACTATTTTCCAGTAGAAAGAATTATTTTTTGATTCAGATCATATTTTCATGACGTAATATTTCCGAAAATCGGAAACATATATATTCGTACTTTACCTGCCTGCCAAACATTTTTACGAAACATATGAAGATTCCATGTTCATACAAATGTATTTATTAATATTTGGGGCTACATGTACATATGTAGATAACAGCATCGCGTTATACATATTTGATGTATGTACATATATGTAAATATAGAAAACTAATCAACAATTTTTTGTTGGTATCATAAACAAAATTTTAATAGCAATATCTATATGTAGATATATAAAATTTAATAGGCCTATTTACAGATAGTTGCATAGAGTATTTATATGTATGCATATGTAAATAACCAGTTATAAAAAGCATTTGCATCATGAAACATACATATGTGCAATTTTATTTTCGAAAATAGTAAGTGGTTAGAATATGAACAGGTTTTTGCTAAAGTTTTTTTTTCTATCTATTTTTTATATTATTTGCCAAGGTGTGTGTATGCGTTTGATGGGCATATATGTACATTTTTACTACATAAATAAGTACTAAAAGTGGTTTTGGATGCAATCACTCAAATCGCAACGTAGCGTATCTTAAAATTAGTATATAATTTTTATTGTTATTATTATTATTATTATTATTATTATTATTATTACTATTATTATTATTAATATTATTACTATTATTATTATTAATTGTTATTATTATTCCAATTATTATTATTATTAGCGAGGCGCTACGATATGGCGCGATTTGAGAAATTTGAAGAAATATGCATTTATAAATATTATATGTAAACTGGTTCAACATGTTTTTTTTATAAAAATCCCCTGTTAAATATTTTCGGGTTAGTCAAAAAAGACTTATCAATCTTAATATTAAGATTTAGAGGTCGCTTATCGCGAATTTCTATTTTCGATATAAATAACCAGGGTTCGTATTTGCACACACATGTGCAGCACATCCTAACATTTTAAGCTCACACACGTGTGCTGTGCATACAAAAAATTAAAAATTTGCTCACATCACATGTGTGTGCCGTTTGGTAAACAGCACGGGCACATGTGTGTACTTTCTTTTTATTAATGTAAAGCACACGCACATGTGTGTGCTATGCGTAGAGAAACTTATACACTTCGAATTCCAACTCAAATCTTAAAATAATTTTTTAATATGTTTTCTGTCATATAAAAAACAAACAACATCTCACTTTTTATTGAATTGTTTTTCAAAAAATAACGTTTAATAAACAAATTCTTTTAAGAATATATTATGTGCATGTGCATGGGCTGAAATTTGTACAAAAATCGGCTCACACACATGTGCATGTGCTTAATAACAAACAGCACACACTTTTCTGTGAGTAGAGTTTGTTTTCCACTTATGCACACACATGTGTATGAGCAGTGAGTGCAAGTTGAATGTGTTTCTGGCGTGTGTGTGAGCAGAGCATGTGTGTGCAAATACGAACCCTGTAAATAACACAGGCAAAAAATTGTTTCAATATTGAAACGGCTACAAAAGTGGCTACAAAATACTTTTGATTTTCTGCAAGTTTTTTGTTGGCAGTATTGTGCGATTTCCTTCAAAAATATATATCGGTCATTTCGATACCCTAACTTACAAACGAGTTATGAAATTTTAAAACCGAAATATTTGTTTCTGTGTTCTTTATATGGAAAATAGAAATTCGCGACGAGCGACCTCTAAGTCTTAATATTCAGGCGTCGTTTTTCACTGTCCTGAAAATATTTTACAGGGGATTTTGAAAAAAAGTTAGTAGATGTTTTGATACAGTCTAGTATAGATCAATGAAAGTTACGTACATACATATATACTCTTCAGGGATATTTTTTTCGCAAAATTCTAAAAGAAAGCATAAGGCAAATAGATACAAATAGATTGGTGGCAAGAAGAGGGAAGAAAGCTTATGAGATAGAAAAATAGTTGAAACAGAGCATACAGATTGAACAGTAGTAGTTGTGTAACAAGAAATATCCATACCAGGCTAAGGTGGCAAAAGTGTAATTAAAGTTTTTTTGTTTCAGACAGTATCGTATACTCAATAAAATAAAAGGCGTTCCTATGTACATATGTATGTGAAAAATTAATTAAATACATAGTTAGAGTGGATTTCCTTTAAGAGATGTGTCGTTGAGAGTCAAGAGTTCGCTTGGTACTATCGATTTAGAAGTTGCCTATGTCAAATGGGAAGCTTATTGGGTATTTTCTATCGAAATTTACTTGATAATAAACATACATATTAACTGTCTTCTGGTGATTGAGTGAAGGGATAAAATATGGGTGTTAGGTTTGGTTAGTGGATAGATTAGTTAGAATGATGCCATAGGGACTGGTTTTTCAGGTTCAACGGAGTGCTTAAACTTTATATAATGTTAGATATTTATCTTTTTAAAACCAGTTTTTACTACTTTTAAATAAATACAATATATTTTTCTATATATTTTGCTTTTGTGTGTACCTGTAATCGTCAACTTGCATGACCATTTGGATGTTCCCTCAACAGTTGCGCGCTCGGCTTGTTCTAATGAATCTATGTGTGTATCTGGATCCACACCAAATGTCATCCTTCAAAAATCATAAGTATTGAAAATGAGAATTGGATTTTTTTGTAAACCAGAATGTATAATCAAATAAATTATTTGCCCTAATCATCCATTGCTGAGTCTTATTGAAAATGTAAAGCACAACTTTTTTTCATTGATTTCAGCCGTAATTGAAATAAACTTAGGTTGTAGGAAACACTAACGTAAAATAAAGTTGAAAAAAAACAAAAAATTATTTAAAGAAAATAGCAAGTTGTTTAAACTGTTTTCTTCAATTAAATTAAGCTTAAGTGACGGGTGTAGTGTAAATTTTGCCTAACGTACAGAAATATGCATACGCCTTTGGATATATGTACATATGTGCATAGTATATAAGTGCACATGAGGGCGGTTCCAATTCCATTAACGTAACTTTATAGCAAGAATAAAAACAAAATATAGATTGTGAAACAAGAATGATAGAATACAAGATTGCGCCAATCGAGCTGAGAGCAACTGGCCGTGACGTCAAAAAATACCAGAATGAGAGAGCAAGACGAACTAGACAAGAAAAAGGGGAAGCATCGAACAAAAGGCAGTATTGCCAAGTTTTGAATTTGAAAAAGCACCAAATTTTTATTGGTATATTTTATGGACTTTATATACATACATAATTTTATTCTAAGGATTCGAATAAAATTAATAAAAATCAATGTTTCTTGCACGACGGTCGATTTCTTCTGGCATAATTGAAGGTGCTGCCACATTGTCGCTTATGTCACTGTGCCATGATTTTGTTAAAATTTTTGTAAAGTTGCTTACCACACTTACGATTGCTATAAATTTTGCTTCCATTTTTTTTAAGATTTTCTAATTTGGTTTCTTGAAACTAAAAACAAAAGCACCAAAAAACGCACCAAGCAAATTTTCGCGTTTTGAATGCCCACTAAATTTGGCGCGAAAAGCATCCAGGTGGCAACAGTGAATGTAAACAAAAGTATTTTATGACGTCAGCGATTGGGTGGATGCTGTCAAATCGACGAAGAGAGGGTTAGCGGTCCGCGAATGGCGCGACCTTTATTTTCCGGATCGTGATTGTGAAGTGTACAAATAGCTGAAGGTTTTTCTTCTACCAAAAAAGGCGCACAGCTTAAACTTTCTGCATGGTGCTGAAACATAAACCGAAATTAATTTCGGCGTCAGACACTACTTAGTGTAAATACTTGCTTCACAGTAGCGAGTTAGGAGGAAAACTTGAGCTTGCGAAAGCTGATAGTTTGGAAAATCATTAAAAAGCTAAGGTATGTTGATATACAATGCAACCGAAGGTGAAATAAGATTTTACTTACTTAGACGTTACATCAAGATTTGTAACGGTGTTTTAATGAAACTACAACCGACGTTTTTGCTCAGTAACCTATATAGCGTTAATAATACTTGTACATATATTCAAAATATCATCGCATCGGTAGATAAATCTATACTATGGCTAAAGGTAACACGACAGTTAACACATCATTTACTTGCGGACGGTAATTTATGTGAGCTAACCGGCAAATCAGATTATTCTACTGTCAGGGCAGTTATAAAAAAAGCGTTTTAATAAGCCACACGTTCCACACTGTACCCGTTTGCAATTATAGCATGCCAAAAGTCCAACATTAAATGACTTCAGATAAACATGATTTTTGATATTCTGGCTGACAAATATTCAGCTACCAAGTCATTCTAACAAAAAACAACAAAAAAAATAATCGCTGTCAAACGTTGCTTTTTGTGACGCGTTAAAATATTATTTTAAAATAACTCTTAATGCGTGGTTTAACTTAAATGTCTTTTTATTTATTTAGTAAGTTTCAAACCTGTATTACAGTTTGACAATTTTCCTTATATATAACAAAAAAAATCGAAAATTTATAATTTTGAATACATTAATATCTTTAATGGAGCAGATTTTGCAAGTCTAGCCTTACCCAGACAAGTTTTTATACGCAAAATAATAAGGAACATTTGTACATTAATATCCCGTAAGAAATTTTTGCACAGGTTTGCACGAAGCTCTAATTTTATTCAATAAACATGGCATGCACCTGCACCATGCATGATAATGCTGTAATGAAACATATTTTGGATAAAGTGGGAAGAGACATTGACAGTACAGTATTTTTCGCTTACAAGCACCCCGGTTTCTGTATTTCCCGCTTATAAGACTTAGAAACAATGGCGACTATCATTTGCTGGCCAAAAGTCGAGAAGTAACCAAGATGATTTGAAACTCAGTGTTTGGGAGTTTTTGAGGTCGCTGATTTCGAATATGATGTCAGATTTAGGAAATTCAAAATGGCATATCCGATATGGCGACCAAGTTTTATAATTCTTTCCCTTTCACCAAAAACGCATATAAATCGGGTATTTTCGAGGTCGCTGACTTCGAATCTGATGTCAGATTTTGTTAAATTCAAAATAGCGGTTCCAATGTGGCGTTATCGGATTTGGAGCGAAAACAATTTAAGTTTAAAATAGCCAAAAATATTTTGGCGTTTCAATAATTAATACTGATAAGACAATAATTTAAACATGAGAATGATGAAAGTTAGGCACTATTCTTTATATGGGAGGTACGGGGAAATTTTAGCGGGCCACTCCCATTTATGATCCAAAAAATTATATAGGTGGATGCATTGTTCATGCAAAATCTCAACATCACACATGTATTGGTTGCATAGTCAAGAGTTTTGCCACGCTAAAATTGAAAAATGGCACAGTGTGCGTCTTAATGAAGCAAGTGGAGTGACCCTGCAAAAATTTGAGGACCAGGTGGTCCACTGGGTCGTAGTTTTAAAGTATGTGCAAAAGGAACAGGTTGCATACTAGTATCTTGTTATGCTTACCTGGACCACTTTAAACGTAAAAAAACTGATAAATGTGTTGAATACCACCTTTTCGTGACCCATCAGAAATATGATTCGGCTGCCGAATGTGCCAAAAGGAGTAGTTGTCTAGGTGGTCCCATGTTATGCAGCGTTGGACCAGAGGTGGTCAGGTCCAAAGACATCGCAATGTTAATGTAACCATATTTTCTCCATATATTTCGTCCATTTTGGTTACTAATGTTGGTTACAAGGTAGCGTGGTCCTGTACTAGTATTTAACCCGGTCCCACTTTTTGCAGGGGACCGATCCAATCGCACACTGCAGCATTTGAAAACTGTGCTGCACCTCCAAACTCCTCAAAATTCACGCATACATGTTTTTTATTGGAAGCTAGGCAGTCATTAAGGCTTAATGGTTATGATGACAAATTCGCTTTGCGGGCTGGTATGCTATCCCCAGCCGGGTAAACTTACCACTGTGGAACAGGCCGTACATCTATCCCTTCCTCATTTATCTATGGACATAGATAGGCGGGACAGGAATCTCGAAAGCGAAATACCTTTGGCTCTGCTTTTTTATAGTATTTAAAGGCAATTGCCGACCAAGGTCTAGCATATTATTAGAGCTAGCTAAAAAGTGCATTTAAGCCTACGCCACCACTTTTTTGATAACACCGTGCGACAGTCGACTTTGAAATTTCTGGAATATGGTTGAATAAAAAACTTATTCAAAATTTTCGATGCATTGTAGAATAACAATATGGGTATCAATTAAAAGGTAAATTCTGTAGAATAGAAAAAAAATTAATTTTTGGGTGCACCAGGACGAATAAGTATTAAAAATGTCCTTTTAAAACTTTATCCTTGAATATCCTGGAAAATTTCCAATATTTATTTTTGAAAAAAATTCATATCAAAGACTAATATGTTAACTACCACATCCTCGAATTTCCTCCTTCTAACTTTATTAGTTTTATTTTTAATATTTTCATTGAACTTTGTACCACGATTGTTTATTAGGAAATCTGCTCACATCTCCTCATCAGCCTTCTTTGTTTTTTGTTTCCTTTCACCTAGGGGCCAAGGAGTTTATATAGGGGGCAAACATGATTTTAATTAAATTTTGTTTCTTTGTGTATATAAATAGAAATTTTTGGGATTAAGAAAGTATAAGTTTTCTGGTATCCTTTACAACGATACCAATTTTTTAAAAATGGATTTGTAATTTTTTTGTTTAAAATATTTTTTTTATAAAAAAAGGTATTTTTTGCTTTTAAGTGTTGTTCTCAAATTTTTATATACGAAGTATTGAAATATGCACACCAGAAGAAAGGGTATTTAATCGCCTTTACAACGATACCATATTTTAAAAATCGGTTAGTAATTTTTTCTAAAATTTTATTTTTTTTTATAAAAAAAGGTAGTTTTTCATTTTAAATGTTTTTTCTCAAATTTTTATTCACCAAGTGTACAAATATCAGAAGAAAGAAGATTTGATGGCGTTTACAACGATATCAACTTTTTAAAAATTTATTAGTAGTTTTTTTGTTTAAAATATTTTATTTATTAAAAAAGTAATTTTTCCTTGAAAATGTTTTTTCTCAAATTTTTACATACAAAGTATACAAAACTTTTTAAAAATCAGTTTAAAATTGTTTGAAATATAAGGTTTTTAATTTTTCGAAGACCAAACCTTTGCCCCCTTATAGCACCTGTAATATAAGTTTGCAAAAAGAAGGTTATAAACTATTTAAATAAGAGCAAAAGGCGGTCTACGACTGTATTTTTAGTTTTTTAGTTATTTACATATAATAATAAAAAATAAATTTTTACCAAAGATCTTATTTCGAACTTCGAAGACCCATATCTCCATTTCGGAGGCTAACTTCGAAAAACGGAGAAATTACTTTTTTACCTACATATAACTCAATCTCTTGAAAAAAATTGAGTTGCTCCAATACCCAGTGGAGTGCTGTACAGTGTAATGATTCTTCATTATGTATATGTATATATTGCAACTATCAATATCTTATAAAGAGAAGTGTAAAATTTTTTTATCTAAAACTAATAAAGTTAGAAGGACGAAATTCGAGAATGTGGTAGTTTACATATTAGTCCTTGACATATATATTTTTTTTCAATAAAAAATATTGGAAATTTCCAAGGATATT